CTGGCACCAGTACCAGTGCATCAAGCTCTTGCAAATAATCCCCTAGACTCCTCTAATCGGGAGACTTCTGCAGGGTTGCAGAATGCTGCAGATGCCCCTCCTCCCAGTCAAGAGTGTGTGAATTAGTCCTCTTGGGTTGCCCATGCTTGTGAGGCTGGGCATCACACAACCAGGGCCCTGTTCCCAGCTATGTGACTAGCGTGTCGTTGGGGAAATCTCTTTTCTTTTTGCCTCCAGCTCTCCTCCCATTCTTTGTCTATTTGCACTGTAAACTTTCAACAGAAGGGACTGTCTTTCTAAGGAAGTGTTTGTATAGTGCCTAGCAAAATGTGATCCCAACATGCTACTCAGTCAAGGACCATGATAAAAAATAACCACAAGTTATTCATTCATCACTATATTGTTCTTCCTTCCCCCATTTTTGCCATGAGCGGGTGTGGCATGGCAGCATAATCCTAATTGTGGAGTCTTGGCAGCTACAGATTTGTTACAGATCATTGCGTGTACACCACATACAAGCAAGTGATAAAAACAGTTATAGATAGGAAAGTGCTGAAGAGGCTTTTCTGGGGCTCTAGTGAATTGGACTGAATATTGTAGGCAAGAACAATAGCAGACCTTACACAAACTTTGGAACCAGAAACCCCAGGAGAACACTAGTGATGCTGTTAGCAAGTTATGGCAATTCACTCTGAAACTCGCCCACTGGCCACAGCAGCAGATTTCAGTGCAGCCCACTGGGATGTCAGACTGGTTCTCAAGTGAGAATTCAGCTGACTTATTAGGGATGCTTCTTGCTCAGCAGCAACCAGTAATTCTCCCCTCACAAAGGAGGACACAGTGTGAAAACAGCCCAAGCTACATGTCTCAGCTGGTTTTGTAGATGGGTTAGTTAGTGAGTGTGACACAAAATAAACAAAAGTAAAATAAAAATAAAACCCACCCAGGGTTTATTCAGCTCTAATTCCAATTTGGGATGTTTTCCAGGAATCTAAGAATATGACATGAAAAGGTCCATTCTTCCAGGGTGCTTGCAGTATAGTATACGCCTGCATCTCCCTTCACAGTTACTGTGTTACAGCTTCCTGTGCATGGTGTGCAAGTGGGAGGTTGGCCTCGTGGTTAGGACACTTGCCTGGGTCTCAGAGACCTGCATTCAATTCTCTGTTCTGCCACAGATTTCCCACATCTCTTTGGTCAAGGCAATGAGGGCATGTCTACACTCGCTACATTGTACATTGACGTTCTGGTGTTCGATGTAGCAGATTCAATTTAGACCCGTAAATCGAACGCCGAGAGTAGCGCCAGCTGTTGCCTGTCCTCCTCACAGTCATGAGGAGTAAGGGAAGTTGACTGGAGTGTTTGCTCCTGTCAACCTCCTTCTGTGTGGATGCCACCAAGATCATCTTAAGCTAAGCCTGCTTCAGCTACGTATTCTACATAGCTGGAGTTGTTACCTTACGCCAACCATCCAGGTCTAGTGTAGTCTGGCCTTAGCCTCTTTGTGCATGAGTTCCCCATCTGTAAAGTGGGGAATCAGCTCTCCCCAGAGGGAGTCAGGAAAATGAAGCATGAAAGATTGTGAGGCGGTCACACAATATGTTAATAAAAGACTTGTCAGTACCATGGATGGGATACAGATTTTGTACTATTCTGGTCGGTGTTTTAAAAAAGCTGCATGGAGGAGGCAGGGAGACTTGAACAGCAAAGCAGAGGCTTTTTGTGCATTAGCTTGGCAAGAGTAGGTGAGTGAGAATGTATCAATGACAGCAAAGTGGGAACT